TTTCATTATGATAAAAATGAAACTTCCAGTTTGATCACTGCCTCATAAAAATAAACTGGTTTCCTTATTTTTCCCCCTAAAGAGCTCTGGTCTGGAGAAAAAAAAATAGGAGAAAAAGAACAGAAAGTAAATTGCATCATATTTGTCCTCTGCCATACAACATTTAAAATGCCATAAATTAAAGTAAAAATGAGCATGAAAGGCAGAAGTTATATACAGTAATAAATATCTGAGAACTACAAAGGAAATGGAGAAGAATTTTGCTTTAGGAAAAAAAAAACAAAGGATTAAAGAAAATTAGGAATCAATTGCACATATCTATTTGAACCAGTTTTTAAGCAGTATTTGTGCATCTTCACACATCTGTCAGTAGAGCAGAAGGCCTGGAAAGGGATGGACAAGGGCACACAACAAGGTACTCTTTGTGCAAGCACAACTGTAAGTCTAGGGCATCAAAATATATTTTTGAACTTTATAAGACATGGTTGTTTTTAAAATGTATTCAAAAGGACCATTACAGAGCAACCAATAATCTGAATCTTTTCTGTGAGAATAAACATATTCATTTCCACAAGAAATAAACATTTCTATGGGAAAACTGGGTATCTCAAATTGTGTTCTTATAAGAATACACCTGCATCAGGACTAGATCTCTAAAATGCAGGTGCCAGGGCCCCCTCCTAACAGAAAATCAGAGTCTCTGAATGTAAGGCCTAGTGACAGAACATTTAAAAATTTTGTATGCTTTGTATACATCTAAAGCTTTTGAATCTTTGGTCATCTGGACAGATACTGAAACAAAACTGAGAGAATGTAGGGGATTTTTTTTCTTCCTTTTGAATTTCGAATCTTTTCACAAACAAAAGTTAAAAGATTGGGCACCATATTAATATTTGCATCCCCAGAACCAGGCAGAAGCATCTAGAAAATAGCAGAATGATCAAATTTGTGGATTTGAACTGCGCAACATGGTCATGAACGGCATAATTTATAACCAATAACATACCTTCTCCTATATCCAGTTTCCTCTGCTCTCCCCTGATCTTCTCAAAAGGAACTGCAGTTCCTTTTGCACAGACTCATGTCCTCCTTATTCTTCTTGGAAGTAATTATACATCTCCCATACTAGGACCATGATAAAGTCATTGGGGTTTATCTTGAAGATTTTGCAAATAGTATCTTTTTCTTTTTTCATAAATACAAGTGTACATGGCATTTGCCTTTTGTCTTCTACAGAAAAAAAATCACAGATAAGTATCTTGTTATGCAAGATCTTTTTTCAACTATTAATCAAATAAACTTTATACCTCTAGCACAGTTTGCAGTGACTTGAATTTGAAGCAGCTAATATTTTTAGTAACAACTAATTAATAATAGTGTGCTCATAGCAAAAATTATTGTAGAAATGCACTTGTAACTTCTTTTGGCATTTTCCTTCTCATTGGAATCTCCAAGAATAATAAAAATAATTTTTGACCTATTGTCATAAAAAAATAATGTCTGGGACAGGGATGTAGCTCCATAGTAGAATGCTTGGCTAGCATCCACAAGGCCCTGGGTTTGGTTGGCAACACTAGAAAAAAATAAATAAATAAAAATAAAACCTCAGTTCTGAAGCACTCAAGATTATTAAGGATATCTTTTTTAGTAAAATACTAGTATCTCCTTTCCTTAAATTGGTAACCTTTTCAAGCTTTTCTTTGTTTCTTTCTGTGCCATGCAGAAATTGTTGTCAGGTGAGGAATTACCAAGAAATGAACTTTGTAAATGTCACAGGTCAGAATGGGTAAGGAAGATATGCTGCCTGGAAAGCAAGCTGACCTAGTGACCAAACATTCATATCTGTTCTCACCATCCAGTGGCTTGTTGTATATACCCTGATAACTAAAAAGTAATACAAAAAAAAACTTGGAAAAGTTACATGTTCAGCTAAAGATATGCAATAGTCTATGTCAGAGTGAATAGTGATTCATTAAAAAATACTTTAAAAAGAAATTGAAATGTTTTATATCCTGAAGAACCATACTCCCTTATTACCTTCTATTTCTTTAGGAATGCAAAAACAAATCCCAGGCTGGAGTCCAAAGTCTAAAAGGGTCAAGAGATGGCACACATTATAAAAAATCTCACTTCAAAACAGTCCTTTTGTTTATGGTACAATTTGCATTACGTTAAAGTTGCTATATAAAGATAGGAATGTAGCTTTTCTTTTACAGGACTAAGTTCAATACCTTTTAAGTACTGCTTTAATTCTTGCAAATCAGGTTCAATTTCATTAAAATCAACATAACTAACTAGCTCATAACTCATTTGGGGTAGCCTGTCCATCAGAGAGACTACTGTTTTTTACTTTCCATAGTCATGGACAAAGAAAAGTGATAATCTGCTTTTCTTATCACAGCACAAAATGTTTTGTGTGGTTGAATACTGAATTCAACAGGAGCTCAAATACATTAGAGTCATGAAGTCATATAGTAACTCTAAGTTTCTCATTTTCTGTCCAATGAACATATTGTTCAAGTGAAATGTGACACATATAGATTTACTGCTAGATCTTTAATAAAAATAAAGAAGTTTTTAAAAGTAGCTAACTGGGTTAATATGTATTTTAAACGTATTCAAAATTTCCTCTTAAGAGAAATGTAATTTGAAGTAACATTTTACTAGTGTTACTAAGCTGCATTCAAAAATGTGCTATGTAAAACAAAGACTGCCTCTTACAGGCCTTAGAAAAGAACTTCCAAATTTGAGAACAATTTTCATAAGTTTCTACTGTTTTGATAAACTTTTGAAATTAAAAAGAGAGAATAATAAAAGTTATAACATCCAGATGTGGTCGTCCACACCTGCAATCCTAGCACATGGGGGGATTGAAGCAAAAAGATTATGAGTTCAAAGCCAGCCTAGGTTACACAAGAAAACCTTGTCTCTCTCTCTCTCTCTCTCTCTCTCTCTCTCTCTCTCTCTCTCTCTCTCTCTCACACACACACACACACACACACACACACACACAAGTCAGAATGGCAGGTGCTGTAAAAACTAACTAGAAGAATAAATTTAAAGGTCTCATTTTTCACAAAGATCCAAAATGATAAAAAAAAATCTACCTTATCAATTCCATGACTGCATCAGTACACTGATAGCTATTGAAAATTATCCTTCAAGTAAAATTTTTGTTTGTGAAAGTTCTGAGATTTAATATATGCTTTGGCAGAATGAATAGAAATACAATTAATTTTTTTTCTTTTTTTTTTTTTTTTTTTGGTGCTGGGGTTTAACTCAGGGCTTTGCACTTGCTAGGCAGGCACTATACAACTTGAGCCACTCCACCAGTCTTTTTTTATGTTGGGTATTTTCAAGATAGGGTCTCATGGCTTTGAACTGCTATTCTCCAGATCTCTGCTTCCTGAGTGGATAGGATTACAGGCATGAGCCACGACTAAATGTTCTTGATCACAATTGACTTCAACAGGAAAAGTTTATAGAATTTGTTCCATAGAATATAGGATATTACTAGTTTCTATTATTTAGAGTTGTAACTAATTACTTTTTCTGTACATTATCTTTCAAATCTTAATATTATCTTTCTCTGATCTCTCTTTATCTCAATGAATTTTCTTTCAACATCTTAATGAATGACCTGTTATATTCATTATTATGATGAGTATAATAGCCATTACTACTATTCATTCAAATGACTTCAGATATTTTAGGAGAATACTATTATCATTTATAGCAGCATAATGTCACAGTGGTTTGCTTTGCTATTGAAAAATCTCGTACAGAAAAATTCTTTCCATTTGTCAACAACTAATCAACAAAAATTATTTGCATTCACTTAAGGCAGTGACTTTTAAAATGCCCATTCTACATTCTAGGCCAATTGAATCAAATCCTACAGAATTCAAATTTATTTTATTATGAAATTTCCCCATATTTTCAATGCATGGCTCCAATCTCGGTCAGATGCTTACATAGCAAGAGTTGATTTTACATAACAAGAGTTGATTTTTTTAGCATTGAAAACTTTTCTTAAAGGAGATATTTTATATTGCGAATAATAATAAACCCAATGACTAGGAAATAGGGTTTGAAAATATTACTGATAGAAAATAACACTCAGGCATCATGTGTTTAGCTCCTAAGAAATGCAGAGGGCATTAACTTAATGCTAATAGTAACTATTCATTTATACCTCTTAACTGGAAATAATACAGTATAAACCAAATTAAATAGATTAAGATTATAAAATCCCAACCTAATGCAATCCTGGTGCTCCAAATGACTCAGAGTTCACACATCCTGAGGCATTATGTGTCAATGTCTAGGACTTTATTCAATATTAGTTTTATTGCACCAGTATGGGTAGATAGCAGCTATTAGATTTTGAACTTATTTTGTGTTATTAAATGTTAAAATTTCAGAAAAAAATGCTCATCAATGTTTGCTAATAACACATCCCATGTTATGCATTAATGTTAAGATATCTCCAAAGTCCTTATATAGACTAGTTGAGAAACAATCTAGCTGGGTGGGGTGGCTTATATCTGTAATCCTAGCTACTTGAGAGGCAGAGATCAGGAGGATCACAATTTGAGGACAGTCCAGGTATAAAGTTTACAAGACCTCATCTCAACCAATAAATACTGGGCTTGGTGTGTGCCTGTCATCCCAGCTAAGGCAGGAAAGGTAAGTAGGAGGATCGTGGTCCAGGCCTGCGAAGCATAAAGTGAGAATCTATCTCAGAACAACCCAAGCAAAAAGGGCTGGTGGTATGGCCGAAGAGGTAGAGCACCCACCCAGCAAGTACAAGACCCTAAATTCAAACCCCAGTACTAGAGGAGAGGAATATACGTATGTATATAGAATATGTGTAATATGTATATATACGTATATGTATATAGAATATATGTAATATATATAATTGTTATGATTGTTATGATTATACTGCCCTCTAGTGTCAACTGGTGTTTACACAGACGTTCATTTGCCTTTTTCAGATCAGTATTTTCATGACCCATTTGTCCAACTATGGAAACGACCGGCTGGGATTATATACATTTGTTAATCTGGCTAACTTCGTGCAGACTTGGACCAACCTGCGTCTTCAAACTCTGCCTTCAGTGCAGCTGGCTCACAAGTATTTTGAGCTCTTCCCTGATCAGAAAGACCCTCTCTGGCAGGTAAAATTGATTCAATAAATAATATGAGAAATATCTTGTAGTTCTGTGAGATAATCCAGGTATGAAGAGTGAAACCATCTGAAAGCAGCTGCATATTTGGGAAATGTTAAGTATATTCAAGAAACTACTTTTTCCTGAACTGTAGTCTCATTGATACACATTAGAAATTACGGAATTTTCAGTGATGTATTCTGTTGGTGGGAATACTCTTCAATCAAGAGTAAGAGATCAATTTTCAGACTGCAATTGGTTAAAAGAGTTCATGATACTCAGGTTGCATGTTAGGCAGGAGCCAAGTGATCAGCCCTGAACACATTCCCCTTTCCCTAATGACTGAACCACATGGGAAGGTCTCTGAGAGGGCTGCTTTCGGTATTATGTTTCAGTTGTTATAACAAGCATCTTTTCATCTTAACCACTACAAATCACCAAATGCTAGCCACTGAAAAGACATGCATTTTCCTGCTCATTTAAAACCTTCTTATTAAACTGAAATAGTTATTATTTCAGATGACAAGTTTAAAACAAAATTTTTTCTAAAACAGCAGTCAAAAGAGTACCCTCACTTTAGTCTTAATTAAAAATAGAGAGATGTATTTAACTTCACATATCTACAGTACTAATTGGATAGAAATAAGAAGTGACCCTGTTTGCTCATTCTTGAAAGAGTATTAAATTACTATAATTCTTCACCTTTTCTAGATAAGTATAGTTTGTAGTTAAAATGAAGGATGTTCTAGATACATCTTGCACAGTGAGTGTTGGTTTTAAGTATTATAGACCAAAAGCAGAATCCCTAAAATAGTAATTCACCTTCATTTCACTCTTTTGTCAAAACTAAGTACTCTTTAGCATCATAGTCTGTAAAGTTACATTTTTAGATATGCATTTACCAACCTTTGAAGGCAGCTGAAAGGAATGGGTATCTCTTTAAATAGTATAATTATGGCTAGATCCATATCCTTCAGAAGCATAGCAGGAAAACTCAAAGTTACTTAGAATGAAAGTCTGACACCTTATATTTTAGTTATTTGTTGAATATTAAAAGTGGATCTTCTTTTAGGATAACGAGCTGCTCAGAAAGCTCATTATCTTTTTTTTAAATCAAAAAATTAAAATATAAAACTTCCAGTAACAGAAAAACATTAAACTGGCAGTGCTATGAGTCTGCTTACCCAAAGTGGAAATATCTCCCCTTTCTCACATCCTCACTCTCAACCTCAGGACAGAAAAGAATTATTCTAAAGCCTCCATGATACCACATCAATATTTTCAATTTTTAAAAAGGAGCCTCCTTGTTTGTCCCACTGTTTCCTGGAATATCTTATAAGGATAAAAATTGGAAATGCTGATGTGATTGGACTTTGGTCACATGATAAGGTGAGAGCACACACGGGAGGTATGGGGATAGGTAAGAAACCCAAAAAACATGATAGTATTTGATGTCCTCACTGCATAGGAACTAATGCAGAAACTTTAAAGTGACAGAGGTCAATAGGAAAAGGGGATCAGGAACTAGAGAAAAGATTAGTTCGAGAAGAATCAACTTAGAATGTAACACATTTATACATGGAAGCAATGCTAGGAATCTCCCTGTGTAGCTCTCCTTATCTCAGCTAGCAAAAATGCTTTGTCTTTATTATTGTTTACACTCTCTCTTCAACAAAATTAGAGATAAGAGCAGAACAGATTCTGCCTGAAAGCAAAGGGAGGGGGGAGGGCGAAGGGGCAGAGAGGGGAAAAGGAGGGGGCAGGGGGATAGCAGGGAGAAATGGCCCAAACAATATATGCACATATGAATAAATGAGAAAAAAATTGGAAATGCTGGCATTCAATGGACACACACAAAAAAATGCATCTCTATATTCTTCTCCAACTTAGAATCCTTGTGATGACAAACGTCACAGAGACACCTGGTCTAAAGAAAAAACCTGTGATCGCTTACCAAAATTCTTGGTGATAGGACCCCAGAAAACTGGTGAGAACTTTTAATGTTGTGATTAATCAAATGATCAATAAAAATACAAAAGATTAGACAATGATTTCTTGTCATAATGAGATCTTAAACTTCCTATAAAACTGATAAATGAACAACATATTATTCTCGGACATAATTGTTGTTTAGCTCAATGATGTACTTAAATGCTTTGTCAATGTGTTTTTTAAAGTGAAAAGGACAAAATAGATGTCACACAGTTTGAATATACAGCAGTCAATTTGGTGACACATCTTTTTTGTTTCCCAAAGATCTTCAATGAGAAGTGTTGCTAACCATATCTGAAATTACAACTAATCACATGTTTGAAAGTGACTGGCAGGATTTGGTCAAAAGTCATGAGAGACACACATAAGCACCTAGAACTCTTTATAATAAATTCCTTCCAGAAAAAGAATTTGCCATCTTCCCAATATGATCTATTTGTAAACTGTTTCTTGCAGAGATGACAACTTTTTAAATGTCTAAAAGATGTTTGAAAAGCAAAATTCCTAGACATAAACAAAATTTTGTGCTAGGAAAGGTATTTATTCATACCCAGGAGAAATTTTTTGCACCTTGTCTTAAATTGGTGTGCAAATTTTTTCTCATAAATTCCTTGTTTCTTTGAGAATCAAGATTAAAGTGAATCCCAGTGGAAGTGTTAAAATGCCAGATATTCAAGCTGTATCCGGGGTGATAAATTATTTGGGGTCCTTGGATTCTGGCTTCACAGAAAACAGACATTTCAACTGCATTTCTTGCTAGGGAGAATACATTCCCTCTTCTTGTCTCTCAGGAAATAACTGAGAGTTCTAAGCAAGGTACACAGAGAGCTTAGCCTATTCATTTTTTTCTTAGCTCCATTGCAAATAACATTCTGAAAAAAAAAAAACAGGTATGGCAGACACATTTCTTGTCCTTATTTACTTAATTTGTCCTTACCTATCTAAAATCAAAAGGCAACTAGAAGAACATTGAAACTAAGTCTCTTCAGTGAACTCCCCCGTCATCACATAACCTTGTCATTACTGATCACATCTCTCCAAAGCTTGACACACCAAGTTTGTTTCCAAATCCCGTGAGGGATGTACTTTGCCTCATGCTATGTTGGAAACACAGACATTTTAACATTGTCCTTAGATGGCAGAATTATTAGTTGTCATCCTCAACCCACTTGGGTTTCCAAGTGTTATGTTACTATTTGGATATGACATTTGCCTTTGGAATAAAAAAATTTACAGAAAATGATGGTTTTATGTAGAAATTTTATTTTTCCCAGTTTTATTGACATCCATTAAATTCACTCATTTTAAATGTACAATTAGGTAATTTTGAAAATTGTATGCTTTGTAACCACCACCAAATACAGAACACCTCTATCAAAAAAGTTTCTCTAGGTCCCTTTGCAGTCAGTTCCCCCAAACCCTCCTCATACCAGCCACAAGCAACTACTTTTTTCCTTTTCTAGAATTTCATGTAGATAGAAGCACATACTTTTGTGTTTAACTTCTTTCATTTGGCCTGATACTTTTGACATTCATTCATTTTGTATCTATCAATAGTTTATGAAATTAATTTTTCAATTAGTCAAAATTATCTTCTCATATCAGCTCCATGAGAATTAAATAGCCTTACTTCTGACTTTAGTTTTGTCAAAAGTATCCTTCTGGACAATTCTGCATAGGTTTCTAGTTATCTGGATATTCAAATATTTTTCAGTTTTGAAAATGACAAAGAATATATAAACTAAAGCTTTCAGATAGTTATTTAATTATGTGTCTCTGTAAAGATGTGGTTGGCTTACCGCAGACAAAATATATATACAGGACAGTTTATTCAGACCAAAGAATATGTCTAGGCAAGACAGAATTCAGAAACCACAATCTTATTTTTTGACCACTGACAAATAATATTATGCCTTTTATTGACTATATAAAATAATTAGATTATATACATTTTTTTCTGTTTCTCTAGTGCTGGTCATGAAAGGTTATTAAAAGCAAACAACATGATATAATACAATTCTTAAAAATAAAATTCAAAAAAGAATGTTTTCTGAAATATTTCAGAATGTTTGTATTCTGAAAAAATTTAGAAAAGAACTACTTTTTCCACATTATTATAATCATACTCTTCACAGAGATTAATCCTTTCCAGTTTTTAAAAAGACCTTATTTTTTCTGAATTGTGTCTCAATTATGTAACTGAGATATAAACATACTTAATATATTTATAATTCTAAATTATATCTCAATAAAGTTTTTTAAAAACATGTTGCAGATATTCAGATATGGTACTACTTGTGTAGCAGTTCCACACAGATTATCTCCAGGGCCCTTATAAAACTCTGATAGCTAAGCATTTCCTTCCCCAATACACAGATGAGAAAAGTAAGACAGAGAAGTTAAATAATTTTTGTTCAAGTTCACACACCTGGTAAGTACTGGAAATAAAACTCTTAACCCTAGGATTTACCTGACTCCAAATTGAGAACATGTTCTTTCTACTTTACTGTTGTGAATTTGAAGTAATACAAGATCTTTTCCCAATAAATTTTATATGTTGATGCACATTTCTTCTAATTCTTTGATTTTTTTAAAAGATGGTCACCAGGCCAGCAGCATTAGTTAGCATCACCAGAGAACTTGTTAGAAGTGTGAATTCTTTGGCCACTCTATAGACCTGCTCAGTCAGAAACTCTGGGACAGGACCTAGTTATGTGTGTTTTAACAAACTGTCCAGGTGACTCTGATGCATGCTGAAGTTTGAGGATCACAGTTTTAAGTACAGCTTGTGAAGACTATTTTTACTTATAGATTCCTGTGTTTCATTCCCTATAATTATCTATGATTATAGATAAATGCTTATTGTTGGCTCAGATGTAATCTACAAACACTATCTCTTTTAATTCATTTTTTAGACAGTATCATTATTGACAGAAAGTCATTTTAACAAAGTTTCTATTGTAGAGATGTGGTAGAGTTAAGTATAATAGTAAAGAAGGTTTAGCAGAATGATAAGAATATTCAAAATTCTTTGCAAATGGCAACATAACATTACTAAGCAAAATTAGAATGATAATTTCTCCAAGTGAGAAAAATACTACAAGGTCCCGTCTGATTGTTATTGCTATCTATTAACTTGAAATACAATTACAGAGCCTGTTCCATCGCAGTGTATATATTGTAAATCACATCAGAGAAGTAGAAATTATAGGATATATTTCTCTCATGACTACTGAATATACAGATCAGAAATATTTTGAAATTATGATTTTATAAACACAGTCACAGTTGCAAATGTGGGGCTAAATCTTTGACAACTGATCCCAAACTGCCTTTCTTTCTTCTGTAGTAGTCTGACAAAGCTGCACACTTTATCTCCTAATTTGGGCTAATAAAACATTAATTTTACTTCTTATCATATTGCTCACTTTAAAAGAACTCACATCCTTGTTCCACAATAGTCACAAATCTACATGGGCACCTGTGATATGCCACTCTCTTTCTAATAAATGCTAATATTATGTTATGCCACTAAAAAAAGATGCTAATTTTCTTCATAGAAAATTAAACAATTTTTCACACTACTTTTTTTTCAAATTTGTGAAAACTTGTTAAGTTATTAAATTCTGTCTTGGGCTTAGCTTTCATAGTCTTCAGAAAGAACTTTATAGAACACAAATCTCAATTTTGATAGTAATATGTTAACTAATGGTATGTTTTAGTTATATAATGCTTTATTAATATCAAAATATCTTCAGGTACATTATGTCATTTCATCATCAGAGAAAAAATGTATGAAATAAATAAGGCAGGTGATTATCCATTAAAAAAAACCTGAAACAAAGAAAAGCTAAAAGCCAAAGTCATATCAGATTGGTGACTGAGCTAGGATCAATAGCTAGTTCTCCAATCCCTGCAACAGGCCCTGTCTCACACCCCTCCATCTCCATTTTTTAGAACCTACTTCTTTTTAAACTCTGTGTGATCAGTTTAAGTCTGCAGTATATGTAAAGAATCTGCTTAGATCATTATACTATTTACATTATTAATGACTTTGAAATGTTAATACTAGGAAACCGTCTATTTCATTAATTTCTAAACCTCTGTTGTCTTTTCAGGTACCACTGCTTTGTATTTGTTCCTGGTTATGCATCCTTCCATCCTTAGTAACTCCCCCAGCCCAAAAACCTTTGAGGAGGTACAGTTCTTTAATAGAAATAACTACCACAGGGGGATTGATTGGTAAGATGGGTTATTAATATAAATCTAAAAGTATATATACTGTGCACAGTATAAACTTAGTGTTGATATTTAGAAACATATAAGTTTTTAACCCCAAAAAAGTTTACCCTCCATGCCTTGGAAATTCATTGAAATAACATAAAGGAACATGAAAATTTTTCATAGCAAACCCTTCTCAGTTAATGAAAGGACTTGTTGCCTCAAGAGGCCTGCATGTAATTTCAATTGGCATTAATTATTTTTTATGGTAATTACAGATGTGAAGTCTCAAATAGCATAATACCCAAGAACTTCATTGTTCCCTGGTTATAAGAAACCTTTCAGATCTTTTCCTTGTACACGCTTCATTAGGTGATACTATGGTCCACTTGTATAATTTTCTATTGTATAAAAGGCAAAAAAATGTAAATAAAAATCTATAGATATAGATATAGATATATTTCATAAGTAATGATAATACATAAAATTTCATTTTCACCTTTGAATTAAAATTAGAAATAAATTAAGCATCTGAAGAAAATAATATAAAAAGTAAAAACATAGATATAGACAAATCACTGTAATGTAGTAGAAGTGGATAACACAAGGAAACATGTTAACCATAAACTATATCTTCAGGTCTTTCTATTAAGTTTGAATGCTGGACAAAGAGTGGTAGAAAAAAGCAGAATTTTAATAACTCCATAGAATAAATATAGCATTTTGCATTTGCATAATGAGCCATGTACATTAACCTTGTCAAATTGCATGCTCTCAGTTAAAAGTATCAATAACTTCAGTAGTTGGCTTGTGGGTAGTCTGAATGGAAAGATAAATAAGTGGATTGAGCACAGTTTGAAGACCTACTAGGGTTTACATGTGTTTTAATTGTTATATAGTTCACTGCCAAGTCTTCCAAACAGTGGTTGATACTAATGTGGTGTCAAATAACAGCAGGGAGAATCAAGAATCCTTCAGTTACTTCAGCTTCCACTTGACCACTGATTCAGATTAATATACATGCATTTATAGGTAATAGAATAAAATGTTGATGTCATGACTAAAAGGAATGATTAAAGACTTCTTTGGGGAGGAGGGGAAGAGGCAAGTACAATACTTAGAGTCCCTGGAACGTAAGAATAACTGTGGGAAGAGTCCATTTTTTTGTTGTTGTCATAAATTGTAACAAACAAAGCCTTTTGTGATCATAAGCCAATAATTGCATAGGCACTATAATCAAAACAAAAAGTCCCTTTAGCAACTTACAAGGAGATGGCATAAATAAGTAGGAAGCTAAAGTGCAATGAAAGATTTTAAATATAACTGGACAAAGTTACCCAAATACAAACACTTTTGATTGACAAATTACACATTTATAAAAGGCAATTAATGCAAATAACAAATAATGGTAACTGCAAATGTCAACTTATAACAGTAATTACAGCTTTGCTCTCAACAACATCAAATGTATTCACAGTCAGACTGGCCTGGCCTCTCTCTGAAGCATGAACCCCTTTGCTGTCTTTTGGGGGTCATGATTCCACAAGGTTGAAGATTATGTCCCTCAGAGTTCCAGGGACATTTACAAAATTAACTTAGATACAGTTAGTTAATCTGAATGCAAGGATCTGCTTTTTTTCCTTTTTCTCTTTTTGAAGAACTGGATGAAACTGTGGCTACCTTAACTGACAGTCAGCCTAAGCATGGGCTGAGGGTACAAGCAAATTAGGCCAAATGAACATCAGAAAACTTCATCTTGACAAAATAGCCAATATTTGCAATCAGAGGGTCTCAAAAACAATGTTTGATTTATGCATGCATGTAGGTTTTATGCTTTGTGATTTGGTAATATTATTTTTAATTGCATGGGAATGTAGTGGAGGGTTAGAGTAATGTTTAGAAAGTCATAAAATCCGTTAGCATTTAGGACTTCTGCTATGCTTGCTAATTCTTTGGATACTTGAATACTTTTTTTCCAAAAGTGAGCTTATCTGGGGAACCTCCAGATCCCATCCTGGAAATATGAACCTGAATTCCTTTCATTTACTTGTTTAATAATCAAACATTTTTCAAGTATCTGTAAGTCCCAACCCCTACACTAGAAAAATGTGAACACATAGGCAACAAGAACTGGACCCTGCCTTCTCTATAAGCCCCTGAGCCCGGCAAAATCAACATGATATAGTTTCAACATACAGAACTACTTCAGGGGTCTTAAAAGCCTAAATTATTCCAGGTATAAAAGACTGCTGGGAAGACAAGATCATTTTTAGAAGCTAAAAGCTGTCTAACTTTCAGCACCTCCACCCTCTTTTTTTGTGATCTTTGGAGCCTCTCTCAGAACAAACATGCTTGAGATAAGCTTGGTGAATCAAATAGGATACCACTAGACACTCAAGACAGCCTTAGCATCCGTGGCACCAGAATGAGCTTCTAAACAAGAAGGACCCTGAAATGTGGCGCTCCCTGTAGATAGAATGTGCAACAGAAGAGATAGCAGATCAAACTCTTCCAAAATTTTTGTACATCTCTTTCTCTCTGAAAGGATGGCAGAATGACCTATCACCAGCAATGCCCTTCTCAGAAAACATGAAAGGATTTTGTTACTGCTCTGAGTCTCAAGACATCACCTTGTTGCAACAGTTTACACTTTGCAGTTCAGTGACACAGGAATCCTACCGGGAGTTTAATAATCTGAAATGGCAAGGTCTCACAGTTAGAGTCTGTGCAAGTAACACAAGATCTTTTGGTCCAAAGAAATAGCACACTATCAAAAGAAGTGATCATGTAAATGCATGATTCTTTTGTTCAGTAATTATTTAACTACCTTCTCTTGCTGCCCAAAGTTATGTTGGCTTATAAATTGAAGTGGATGGTGATGGCAAATGAGGCCATTTTTATAAAATTTTACAGTTCCTTTAAAAAAGCATTTTTCCTCTAAAAGGTATCACTCAGGGCTTCAGAAATAACATATTGTCATATGCCAATTTAGTTGTACTTGACAGCTTTTACACAGGCAGAACATTAAACAGATCCTGAATTTCAGTGCTTGAGTCTACACTGTGTTTACACTGCTGGTGATTTGAATTACCACTACCCTTAAGGATACGAGACCCAGCCTTGGGAATTTTGACAAGAGTTTATATTTGGAAATACGTACATACTTTTAAAACTTTTCTTATAATTATTCTAATATATATTAGAATACGTAGAGAGATATAAATGGCTCTATATGAATAAAAGTTAAGCCAACAGACAATATTCACAACAGACACATTATATGTATTTTGACACTACATGACTAAGTACAACAGCACAACACACTAGTAGGAATGAAATTATTTTACTTTGAGAAAGTATTTTTACCTAAATCTTTTTTAAATGTCTTTGAACTAAACATATCTTCTTTTTTTTAAATCAGATTCTCTTTTTGAGTGCTTACACTATTGTCTGTAGGGTATTTCTACATTTAGATACATTTTATAGTTAATCTGGTTATTATTGCGGTTTGATCACTCCGTGTATACATTTTTGTTATTGCATAACTTTCTTCTGCTATTAAGCAAACAATAAAATGTATCTAGAAAAATTTTTCCAAAATGTTTTTGTTAGGGTTCTGGACATATTTCCCCTGCTAACTATGAAGGACAAATCCCTTAAAGAAAAAGGTTTTTATTTAGGAAACAAATGAATTTGTGGGACACCTCTAATGTCTTCAGTCACCAGGATATAAGTATAAACCAGAGTCTTATTTTGAGAAAAATATTCCTTTTCTAGGTATATGGATTTCTTCCCTGTTCCATCTAATGTCACCACTGACTTTCTGTTTGAGAAGAGTGCCAATTATTTCTACTCAGAGGAAGCTCCTAAAAGAGTTGCTTCCTTGGTCCCCAAAGCCAAGATCATCACCATTCTCATTGACCCATCAGACCGAGCATATTCCTGGTACCAGGTAAGGAAGACAGAATCCCACAGGGAGAAGGGGAGTTTGTACAAACCCATCATGGGTTTTAATAAAAGAGATCTTCTAGTTGTTTGACACCTACAACACACACATGTATATGTGCTTCCATACATCTGCATCTTACAAGCAAATGTTATAACAATTTTAAATGATTAGATTTCTCCAAGACATATGCTCTGAAGGGTTAGATAGCAAAAACTTCAAGTTTTACAGGTTATAAAGTCTGCCACTTACAGGTTACAAGTCTGCCATTGTATTTCAAAAGTAGCTGTGGATATGTAAATGCGTGAACATGGCTGTCTCAGTAAAACTTTACAAAACAAGCAAATGCCAGCTCCAAAAGAGCTGAAATAACCTCTTGTACTGAAGAAGCAATCTGTGGAAAAGCATAGACAAGGATTTGTCATCCCTGCTCTAAGCCTCTTTATGCTCATTATCATTGTTTCTGATGTTTGTTAGAACCTATCACTTTGAAATAATAATAGACTTTAGTAATATGTATATACAAATACACTTTTACTTTAGAAAATCATTAGAAATAATAGCAAGTAAAACAATCCTGTGCCAGTGATATTTTAAACACCAAAGGTTCAATAAGAAGTTGTAAAATTAAACTAAGGAACATAACAAAATTCAGCATCAGTGTCTTTAATCTGTAGGATCTTCAGTTTCCTTGTGCAGTTTTATGATTTAAAAAATGCTCTCCAAATATTCATGATGTCCATCTAGTCATCAAATAATTTTAGTGACTACCATTTGCAAAGTATTATTTTAAAAGTGATTTTAATTAATAAATGTGGACACTATACTTGACACTGTCTTTGGTCTAATAATTGGAGGTATACCATAAGTATAAATAATCATATAAATTAGACAGTAGTAAGGAATGGACTAAAAGAGTCATTTGAGATAAAGCCCAGCTTACATACAAGTTATATTTACTAACTTGGCTGCAAGTTAGAAGCCTAACAGAAGAAACATGCACATTCCATAAAGAAGGGAAGGATCTGAAAGGGGAATGACTGAGGTAGAATTAAAATGAAGCATTTTGATTGGTACAAAGCAGAACAATGTGTAAAAGGGTTATCAGCAGATAAGGGCTAAAATGCAAACTAAGATCCGATTTCCTTGGAACTATGAGGTTTAGATGAATGTGGAATAACATTTACACAAAAACTCCTTATCTGTACCTCTGTGAGTGGGCTGGATATGAAATCAGAGTTTTGAACTACATGTCAGGTCATCCCTATATATCAAAGAGACACTGGTGAAGGGCAGAGAAAGATTTATAATAGGGCCTGGGACATGCTGTGGGAAGAGGCAAAGGAAACACTTCAGCCCATTTATAACCACCTTCAGGCTACAGATATGACCTTTAGCTTTAAACAGATAAGGAAGTAGGGCAGAGAGCAAAAGTTATGCTTTGTTAAATAGTCCCAGTTACAGGTATGGGCTGGTTGGTCATTGTCTCAGCTCTGGTTCTCAGGGATTCCAGAGAAGTTTGTTACTGCTGTCCTCACTTGAGGGTGATACACAAGAGAGCTCAGGTTGTGGGTGTCCTTGGTCTGCTCTTAGATAAAAATCAAAGGTGGACTCAAGAAGCAAAAGTCGGAGAAGTTTTATTGGTAGAGAAGAGAAAGGAAAGGCTGCAGCAGGATCCGAAACCAGTGGTCCCGAGTCATGATGGAAATCAGGTTTTGTAGCTTTTTTTATTGGCTGAGAGCAGAAGTGTCTCTCTGGTGCAAATGGATGTTTCTTGGGAAGGAGAAGTGTCTTCCTGGCTAATTGACACTTTTTCGGAATGTGGACCTCCCGCAGTCCACCCTTCAAGGGGAGCAATCTGGGTCCTATGAGATGATTACTCCTGTTCCCTGGTCAGCCTCATCATTACAGGTAATTGGCCTCATTTGGCAGGGGGAAAGTGAGGTCTGTCCTACAAGGTTCTGCTGTTCCTTAGGGGTAGTTTCAGTTCTTTGTCATAAAGATATTGTCAATCAGCCCTGTCCTTCAGGAAAGAGTGACTCAGAACAAAAGACAACAGGAACAAAATAGAGACAGAGATGCCAAGCTTTTCTCCTATTTAGAGATTCAGTGCTTTTCAACAAAAGTGATTTAAGTACCTCTCACAGATACAAGGCTCTACAAGGCTAATTCTATGCATTCCAAGTACCCATACAGCTCATCTTCTCCAGGCACAAATGGGATCTCCCACTCTCACTGATAGTCACACAGCTAACTTCTTAATAATTATGATACTAGAGAATAAAGTTCCTCTGGACTGAATCCTTTGTTATTTAACAAAAGCAGACTTCCAGTTGTCAGAAAAGGTTTTGTGACAAGGACAGGGTGGGAAAGGGTCAAAGCAGATGGAATCCTATTAATAGGCATACTGATGATAATTTGCACAGCAGAGACTGGAGACACTCTAGAAAGTTAAGATCCATAGAAATCCACAATTCCACACTTATCATTCATCCCAAACCTAGAGCCATCTTTTAAATAAATATATACATCAAACTGCATAAAGACAGATTTTTATTTTGTACCTCTTACCTTTTCCACCAGGCATCTAGAGAAAAGAGAAGTAAGTCTAATTGACCCAAAAAGAAAGAAGAAAATTGGAGCTTGGCAGCCACTTAGCCCCTGAAAATTGGGAATTTACAGAAAAAGGAGGTTTCAAGGCTGCAAGCTAACAAAACATCCTAAATATTGCAAATAAATTACTCTACAGTGGCAAAATGCAGCCTTAACAAAGTCTAGTAGCATCTGTAGTACAGTAATTTGAATCCCAGTTGCAGCAAATTTGCTATTCAACTAGATGTGGTAAACATCCACAAACTCACCACTAAGCCTGAATATTTATTGGTCAATTTAAGGAAAAGGTGATTTTCTCAAACCCATGGGCTTGAGCCTCAGCCATTATAAAAACACTTTCATATTTGGATTGCTGCTTTCTGTGATTTCTGCACAAAAAATGATTCTGATTCACTGCAAAGGTTACCATTAGATAAAATAGTCTTGGCTTTTAGATGCTAGGTAATATATGATAAAAGCTGTGGGTTTTGGATAATGTACATGTCAGAGTTCTCAGTAGTTTTTCCATTTAAAATAGCTGATAGGACTTTTCTAATCTAAAACTACATTACTAGGTAGAGCAAAACTATTTGGCAGAACTAGTAGAGTGCTTGTGTATTGTGGCTATTCACTGAGAATGATAAATGGTTTGCTTATGGGCTAAAAAGGAGATATTAATGCAGATTTCAAAAGTTTACATTCAGAATTAAACATACACACCAAGAACACTCAGGAAAGTTACTTAAGGAATCCTATCAACAAGAATTCAGCTTCTACCAAATAAGTTCTCAAAAAATACACTCTCATCAGTATCATAACTTTAAATTTTGATGCTTCAAGCAAACAGTTTCATCCTTTATTAATTTCAAAACAAATAACTCTCCAACAGTGGCACTCTCCCTTAGCTTTGAGACTTGTCACAAGGATTGGTTTTTAATTATTTATGCCTATGGTTCAAGTTAGTTTAATTATCCACCTTTTCATCATAGCACCAGCGATCACATGAAGACCCCACAGCTCCGAAGTTTAGCTTCTACGAAGTAATCTCGGCTGGGCCCTGGGCACCCTCAGAACTTAGAACCTTGCAGAAGAGATGTTTGGTCCCCGGGTGGTATGCCAGCCACATCGAAAGATGGCTTGTTTATTTCCCCCCCTTCCAGGTATGAAGCAATAAGAATTTACATCATGTAATAATCTCATTAAGTTGATGACTTTGCCTCAAGGATACAGAAAGTTTTTACTCATTGAAACATTACTAGCTTTTTTACTCTTTACTTGTAAATAAGGAGACTGTGGCAAAGAAAAATAGATACACAGAGGTAGAAAAACAGTTTAATTTTCTAAGAATAATTCTCTCTGCTCGATTTTCTAGTGTATGCTTTTCCTGATTTTATAGAGTTTCCAAAGCTTTGTAGCTCTGATTTGTATTCTGATGTGAGTAAAGCTTGAAAGGGAGCCTCTTTGCCAAGCAAGACAATACTGTGTGTTTAGTTAAGGGCCATCATTTTCCTTCTGAACTGCCTTACTGAATTTTTCATAAGTCCTATGGGTTTTTTTAGCTTCCTTCCTTACTTCTCTTTTGCCTGACATCAACTTGAATTATAAAATCAACCGCTAAAATGGATTAGATAAGCAACACAGTGACATCTAGATACTTATGTATCTAAAGCCATTCTGTTATGATATGATAGCTGCTGCCACATATTGCTAATTAAACTTGTATTAGAATTAAGTAAGATTAAATTTCAGTTCATTTGTCTTAGCCATATTTCATATGCTCAGTAGCTACAGGTTAGCCAGCAGATGTAGAACATCACAAAAAGTTCTATCGAACCTCTTGGAAAAGAGGTATGGACAAGCCTTGCACTATAGACTTTGTGGACTTCCATCATGGCCTCCTGTCATTTGGTCTTGCTGGGTTCACCCTCACTAGAGTAACAAATTCTTCCCCTTAGTTTCTTGAGGAACTTTCTGTCCATGTTAAGGTTCTCTGAGAATCTTACCTTCTTCTCCATATGGATTGTTAATATATTTGTTTAAACTTTATAATGCTACTCTAACCAAGAGTTCTAGTCCAAAGGTCCAACTCCTCCTGGAGTCAGGCCATATGTCAGGTCTGGCAACTCACCCCAATACACTGCATAAAGAGATGAACAGTGGTGAAGGACAAAGAAAGATTTTTATTACATGGCACGGACACACCATGGGAAGAGGCAAAATAAGCAATTCACCTTATCTTCAGGGTACAGACATTAACTTTAGGGTTAAATACAAGAAGAATTGGGGCAGAGGAAGAGAGGAATGCAGAATGATTAAACAGTCCAAGTCACGGGAGTCACAGTTGCTCATCATCTCACGATGGTCAGGTGGTGCCTGGTCAAGATAAGAAAGGCATTTTGTCTGGAGGTATCAACTTTTGTCACAAGATGTTACTGATCAGTCCTGTTCTTCCTAGATTCCACAGTGGCTGCAAGGTGACTGCCAAGAGAATGGCTCAGAGCAAAGACAGATACAAAGTGGAGGCAGGGATGCCAAGCTTTTATCCTGCTTTTAGTTACCCTTTGGACATTTACAGGCACAAGTGAGGCATCAGTGCTTTTCAGGATAAATGGTTTCTCAGTACCTGTTACACTACTCCTGATTGGAACTGTGAAGAATGACAGTTCCTCTGTCTCATTACTACTAAGCTTATTATAACCTTTCTTTCTACAGTCTTCCTCCACAACCTTAGTAATCATTGTTTTGTTTGTATTTAAACTTGGTTTACATTTGCGATTTCTAGTCACATTTCTAAGCTGTCTTTATCTTCAGAAGGGGTGTTTTTGTTTTCAGAGTGTTTGCTAACTTCTCAAATAACAAAACATGAATGTGCTTACTTAGCATGATTTATTTCTTATTCCAGATCATTAATAAGAATGACCTGGCTGCATCTAACAATGCATGTAAAGCCCCTCAAGACAGTGTCACAGAATAAGTACAGGGCCAAAAAATTTTTCATTATACAGTTGACACTTATGTTTTCAACATGAACCGTCTTTTCTTTATTGTTACTTCTTTGGTAATTTAGTTGCTAATTATTGATGGGCAGTAGCTAAGAACAGATCCTGCAACAGTGATGGATGAAGTACAGAAGTTTCTAGGAGTCTCTCCTCATTATAATTATTCGGAAGCTTTAACGTAAGTTTATGTTCTAATTTGTTTATTCAAGGTCCAGCAGAGAACTTATTTTAAAGAAATTTGGTTTGGCAATACCTGGTCAGCTGTTTCTTATGTACTGATTGTTTTCTAGTTTAACATTAACCATTTGGAAAAAAAACATTTAAACAGTATGACAAAGAAATATCCTAAATCTTGTGTTGATTCCTACCTATGCAAAGATTTCCCCTGGAAGGAAAGTATAAAAACAAAATAGTTGTGAATCTTAAAACCAACAACTTACCTAAAAAGAAGCTATGTGAAATAAATTGGTAAGCTGAGCCTACTCAACCAACAATATTGGGACCTCTTGGAAGAATGAAGAAGCAATTGACTAACCTGTATGTAATTTTCAGAAACAATGTCAAACAGCAAGAAATAGCCCCATAGGTGACTGAATAGGCACAGAGAGAGGTATGACTATGGCCTTCAATGTACTTCCAGTGTTTACTTCTTGTCTTTACTCACTGTAAATGCCCTTGTTCCCACTTCAAAAGACAGCTTTCACAGCACTGGTTTGGTTTGTTGTTTGGGTTCTGTTGTGGTCTGTTGTGTTTTGTTTTGTTTTGTTTTCTTGCTGGTTTCCTGTTTTTCGTAGATTGTTGACTCCAGGGCTAAAACTAGGGAGAAGCAAGAGAGCCACTAGAATTTAAGGAACAAACACTCACTCTTGGGATTGTGCCTGTGCCTAAGAGTGAGTGCCTCCTTAAATTTTGTACCCTAGGTGCCTGTCTTCCCTCACCCTACTCCTGCCTCTATATTTTTATATAAGACCTTCATTTACTATTTTTAAATACAAACACCATCTTACACTGTTCATTTATAATGGATGACAATCAGATTTATGAGATTTATGACAATCAGATTTATGCCTCAAGCACATGAAAGATACTGAGCTGGATGAGCTGTGGACCTGACTCTTGTTATAATTTTTTTTAATTTTAAAGGTCATGGAACAAGCTTTAAAGAAACAGAAAAAGACAGTACTGTGAAGTTATTCCATTTTCCTTTTCTGTATAAAAATCATTTCCATAGATAACTGGTTTTCCTTCTTTTATTATACTTTATCCTCTGTCAATTTAGAAAGTGAGAGGAAGATTTCTTTTACCTTCCAGCATCCCTTACACTAAAGGATTGACAGAAAAACATCAAACACAGCTTGTATCTTGTAAAAATCATACCCAGAGACCTTAAGTGACACATTTTGGTTTAGAGGACAACAGACTAGGTAGAACTCTGGAGTTTTGAGCTTCCTTCCTGAGAGTCATTTACTTTGTTGTTACTATTAACCTCCTGACTTTTTTCTATACTTCTAGTACTGCCAGAGTTTTGCAGAGCTTAGTTCAAGTATTAACAGACACCAGCCTTAAGTATTTAGCATTCAACTTAATCTTAAAGGAAGCTGAGTGATTTTCGTTTGCAGTTAGAAATTCAAGTCCACTTTCTGTCTTCTATCTTTTTAAGTATCTCTTAGAAAAGAAATCTTTTATTTTCTAAAAAGTTTTCTATTTCAACTTGGCTTATCTTTAGGTCTTTTTTATAGAGTATATGGCAAGGCTCTGTATTTCAGAAAAAAAAGAAGTAGAGTATTCTATAAAGACATAATCTTTTTTCCTTGAGGAACGTCCTTGACCTGCATGCTGTGTATTTGTCTCCTTTGTATCCAGCTTGGCAGCAAGCTTTTTATTCATCTCCACTACTGAGAAAAGGCTATGTAAACTTAAGAGAATTAATATCAAAGCAATGTGTTATATACAAAGAACTGTGTTTCACTTTGCACCTGGGATGTATCTAGCTAAAATCACCCATTACATGATCCTCTTGGGGGCTCAGGGGGTAAAGTAGTAAAATAAGATATATAGTCCAAGAAACCACAGTTTCTGGTCCAGCAAGCTGCCCAAGCTCTTACCCTGCTGATAGAGATGATGCACTTCCATTTAGTTTTCTTTATGTTTTCTTGCCAATCATCAGTTAACCTGACATACCTTGTAGTTGAGATAAGGATAGCTGTACAGGGAGTTGAAAGTGCACTTGAATATTTGGAAATTTCATGTCTTTGTCTTAGCTCTAAAATGATCTTCCTTTACCCTGTATCTTTTTTTTTTAAACCAGAGTCCTGTATTCACAATTTAGTTACTCTCATTAGAGTAACCCTATAGTGACGGCTATTTTATGGTGCTTTGGAAATGTTGGGAATGACTATGAGTACAATATGTAGATTCTCAGAAATGTCATTTATACAGTTGCCAGGAGATCCTTTATATACTTTCATATTGCTTCTTATTTTCCTGATAATGATAGTGAAGATTAGAAATTTCCTTCAGTGAAAGTCTTCTATGAATATACTAAACTACAAACCAACATAAATTCTAATATAATCACATAAATTCAGTGCTTTACACACAGTACAATAAATGAGTGAAAGGTGGACTATACAAAATATTACTATGCAATCTTGGCATGCAAAAATGCTCTAATTTAAGAGGTCTCTATGCTGACTATCTCCAATATAGAAATTGTAGTGTCAAAACTCTTTTCAAGAAGAATAGCAAAGAAATCCACTATTGTAAAAGTGTGTTTTATTCCTTCCCACAATTTCTAAAGAAAGTGTTCAAGAATCCCAAATGCAAAGTCACTAGTCTATGATGATTTAAAATTACTTAGTACTGTCATCATGGGGTTCAAATGACATACTGAATTTGTTTTAAAAATCTGATTTTCTCAGTGAGTATATCATTTGAAATCAGCAATACAGGCTTAAAGCAATATAAATGGGACCTTTCTCATCCAATTAAAGTAAATTACAATCTTACAACTCTTATTCAACATAACTTTAATCTCTAAATTGTGTATAAGATTGATATAATGATGCTCCTTTAGTTTTTAGGTTATGTATAATAGTATTTTAAAGCTGACTTATTGTTTGGGAGAAAGTAGGGAAAGCATTACCTGACATGGATTGCACTAATTTGTATAAACTAAAATGAAAAATATACATAAACTGTTAATTTTGCCATGAATAGATCCATTCATAATTATCACCTGCCCATCAGTGACCATGACAGAAGTCTTCACATTCTAAAATATCAGTTAAATACCTGAACCTGACATCTCACTTGCCAATTAATTAATTTGTTGAGATTAATGAAACCAAATTGTGTTAAACAAATTTTTAAGACTAATTTACTTTGAAAACTTCAATAATGGGCAATGAGAATTTGAAGAGCAGGGATTGATCATAGTGTGTGTGTGTGTGTGTGTGTGTGTGTGTGTGTGTGTGTTGTGTTGTTTTATTTTGTCTCATGGATGAGGCTTAGCTCAATCATAAAGGACTAAAGCTGCTTCAAAGTTCAGAAAGACTTCAGTTGTTTCTAATATCACTTCCTTTGTCCAGGAATTCTTTTCCAACCCAGTGCTGATGAGTTTTAGTAAAAATCTGCCATATTAAAACATTTTAGTAGCAAAAAATAGTAGCCATAATAAATAAAGTCTGTTGTTTCTCTGGATGACCTACAGAGAGCACCTAAAAATGCATTGAAAAGAAAAAAGATCTATTCCAATTTCTTAATAAATTTTTAACGTGGCTGTACCATTTCAAAATAAATATATATTTATATGTATTAAATTTTTATAGGTACACATATACATCCCCATGAAAACATTGTATGGTAGGCATTAGTAACTTCCTTTTCAGATAGAAAAACCAGAAAACTCAAGCCAAAAGTCACTCAACAAATAAGTTGAGGAGGCAGAATTGAATATCAATCAGTTATTTCTGGAACCTGCACTGCCAATCTGTGAAGCAATTCCCATTGGCATAAGATGTTAGAACCACAGAAAATCAATATTGTTTTTCCTAATGAATACTATATCAACAAGAAATGCTTCCTTTTAAAAGCTGGAATGTTAAAATGAGTTTTTAAAGTAGTATCAGACTTTATTAAAGACATAATCCATCTCTAGACACACTGACACACTAAATATCACTTTGCAAATAAATGTGTAATCATAGAGATATGCAAATTAAAACCATTTTCAGATACCACTATGTACCCATTGGAATGGCTATTATCCAAAAGAAAATCCAAATGGCCATAAACCCAAAAGATAATACCAAATATTGACAAGAATAGGGAGAAATTGCAGTCTCATATACTGGCCACTTTAGAAAGCACTTTTTTAGTTTCTTAAAAATTAAACTCCACTCCTAGGAATCAATCCCAAGATAAATACAAACCTAAGTACATAAAAAAACTAGTAAGTGAATGTTCATAGCAGCATTATTCATGATAGCTAAATATAAGAAACAATCCAAATTCCATCAACTGGCAAATGGATTAATTTGGCATATCCATACCAGAAAATAAAAAGAAAATGCCTATAAGTGACAAATTTACAGTCAAAAAGATAAGTGTTTACCTAGCATGGGGCAGGGGTGACAGCAAAGATTGACTACAGTAGGCTTTAGTAATTATTTTTAGGTGATGGAAATGTTCTATAAATGGATTGTGGTGATAAATTTGCTAAGTATCATAATTGTACAATTACAATAAGTGAAAATTAGGATATGTAAATTGTACTGCAAAAAAATGCTAAGAATAAAATCTGGGGCTAGGGGCACAGCTCAAGTAGATGACTACCTGCCTAGCATCCTCAAGGCCCTGAATTCAGTCCCCAGTATTGAAAAAAAAAAATAAAATGTGCATTGCTAAAATGATTCATTAAATCATAAAAGTATAGGTGCTGGGAGAGAACTGAAAAAGTTCTTATTTTGTCCTATATTAATAACAAAAAGGATGTATTTTGATTTTAAAATTTATCTGCACTATTTTGGCATGGAAATATTATTTCAATTTAAAGGCATCGCAGACCTTTTAAGTATTATCTGAATGTTCTTTAGTATTCATCTGCTTGAGGTCAATCACATTTTCATTAATACAGAAATATCACTGGTTAAAGGTTGCCATTCTCCTTGGAGAATCTAGGTGCCCCTGCCCACACGTCTCTTCTAGTTACTTCTAGATGACCCCAGGTTATATTCCATAAAGTTTAATACCATTTAATAAAATTCTATTAATAACTATTATATGCATGACTCTGGAGACATAATGAAAATATCATTACCACCAAGACAGGGAAGTCATAAAGAGAAATACTACACAGCACATAATACTTCTTTCAAAGTATTTACTTCCTAAAAACCTTGAAAGGAGGGGCCCAGCTAGGACCATGACTGCCAGTGTCTACATAAAAAGGCTGTTTCTTTGCTGTTCCACCAGACTTCAGTGGCATTATGGCTATTTTATTGGTCCTAAGGTCATTCTTCAGAGGGACATTGCTGATGTTCTGAACAGATGTGAAGTGTGAAGTGATCTTTCTCCATCATTTGTCAGATTTTTTTCACCTGGATTCTTAATTAATATTATTCATGTCTTCAAACTCACAAGTCCCCTCATCAGCCGCAGTCCTTCACCTTGTATCTGTGACTGTTCTCTATGAGGAACTAGACTCAGTGCCTTAGGGCACCTGGAAAATAGGTGCAATAATTTCTCTTCTCACTTTTCTACTCTGACACACTCACACCACTGCCTGTGAACTTATGCGTGCAGACACTTGAACTAAGTGCCACACACTCATACACAGGCACTGTATAATAATATCTAATCAATTAGCAGAGATGAAAAAGAGCCTATTTTTCTTTTTATTCTTAATTTTAGTGTGTGAAATTCAATGTTTCTTAGAAAAACCTTCTCTCATAAGATTGCTCATTTTAACACATGGGACATGTGTTATGTATCTACAGCAGGTATATTTTAACAAAACAATAATAGCTGGTCCGAATTCTGAATTTTGATCACATGAATACCTAAAACGTGCCAGAATTCACATGTGGAAAGTGCAGATAGCAAACTGTTAATAAAAATATTGCATCAACACAGACTTCCAGAAATGTTATTACATTGGAATTTTCTAAAGGCTTTCATACATAATTCAAATAATAATGCCCTCAGGAGTGCCCTCTTTGTACCTTCACTACAAAACTAATTCATGCAGCTGTTTTATTGATTCAAACAAGAACATAAACTGCATGAAAAAATATGTTGTGTCATGGTGTTACACAGTTGCTTTAATAATGATAAGGAAAATGCTTTGCACACATCCTATTGTGTCTAGTAACTGAAGCAAGACAGAGGCAGTTATAAATTTACATTCTTTCCAAAGGCTATAGTCATAAACACCACAACATTAGCTACATATAGGCTCCATACACACACATTATAAATCACACTATAACTTTAAATGTTTTATTGACATATAATTTTACATTTAATAAAATTCACCAATTACAGTTACTCAGTTCAATGAATTTTAACTAATGTATATAGCTATATCCACTGCAATCAAGTTTTAGAACATTTGTATTAGTCCAAAGAGGTTCCTCATGCTGTTGTGCAGTCAAACCTTTTCCCTTACTCCCAGCATCTGATATCAACTATCTCCTTTCTTTCACTTAGCACAATATTTTTGAGATTCCTCCAAGTTTTTATACCTATAAACAGCTGGTCCTCCTTTAATGTTGAGTAGTATTCTTTTCACCAAGAGATGGACAGAAGAGAATGTTTCCATTTGGGACTATTATGAAAAAAGCTACTATGAACATTTGTGTAAAGATCTTTATGTGGGCATGTATTTCTTATTGTCCTTGGGTTAATACCTAGAAATGGGGCCAATGGGTCATAATCTAATTATGTTTTTAAATTTAAAAGAAATTTGACAAAATGGCTGTAATATTTTTAATTTCTACAAACAAGATTTGACAATTCTACTTGTTCCATTCCTTTGCCAATACTCGGTATTAGTCTTTAAATTCAGTCATTCTAGTGAGTGCTATTTCATTTTCATTTTCATTTGTATTTCACTGATACTCATGATGTGAAGTAAATTTTATTGGTTTATTGATCATTTTCATTCTTTGCTGAAGTGTCTGTTTCAATATTTTACTCAATTTTATTAGTATTATCATCTTTTAGATTGAATTATATTTTCTTAGTACAAGTCCCTTATGAGATATATGTTTTGCATATATTTTCCTCCAGTCTGTGGTTTCTTAAGTATCTTTAGAAGAAATCTTTTAAGAAATCTTTGCCTAATCCAAGGGCATGAAAATTTTCTATGTGGTTTTTCTCTGTTTTCTTTCAAAATTTTTACAGTTTTAGCTCTTAGGTTTAGGTCAATAATCCCTTTCATGTTAATATTTATATATAGCATGATGTAAGGGTAAATGTTCTGTTTTTCCATGTAAATATTCAATTTTTCTAGTGCAATTTTTCTAAAAAATTAATCATCTCCCATTGAATTAGCTTGGCACCTGTTTTTTTAACCAGTTGACCAATCGTTATATAAGTCTATTTCTGGATTCTTTTGTTCCATTGATCAATTGGTTTTCTGATACCAATACAATACAGACTTGATTACTGTATCATGATAGTAAATCTTGAAAGTATGTAATATAGGATTTCGAACTTCACCATTTTCAAATCATTTCAAATTGTCTTAGCTTTTCTAGGTTCTTTATATTTTCCTGTATATATTTAAATCATTTTTAGTTTCTACAAAAGAAAAAAAGAGCCAACTGGAGTTTTGGTTGAAATCACATTAAACTATAGACAAATTTGGAAAGAGTTGATACTTTAGATAAATTTAGAGAAAGTTGATACTTTTAAAGTATTTAGTCTTCAGATCTATGAACATAACACAGCTCCTTCTATTTTCTTTGCTCTTAGGAATGTTTTGTAGTTTTCAGTGCACTAATCTTGCAGATATTTTTTGTTAACTTTCTCCTCAGGTATTTGAGGGTCTTATGCTAATTTAAATGTGTTTTTATTTACATTTCCAAAATTATTCATGTAATTTTTCAAAACATTGAAAGTAGCATACAGAGTAGTACAAACTAAAAACCAAATAAAAAAAATTCGAAATGATAATTCTTTAATTGAATAACAAAGGCAATATGAAAGAATTGTCATTGCTGTTGCTTTCACTTTTATATTTAAACATGGAAATTACTGCTTTGCTTACAATGAATAATAATACAAAACATACCCAGAGACCAATAAAGAAGAAAAGGCCCTGAATCTAGAGCCAGGAGGCCTAACTTGAATCATGACCAGAATAGTGGGGAAGTATATAGTCCAAGAAAAGTAAAACTTAACAAGCATTTTCTTCCCTTTTATTTTTTATTGAACATATGTTTAGTGAAAATTCACAAGAGCCAAACACTGTACTAAGTGCTATAAAATGAAAGGAATTCTGCACACCATTTCCTTAAGAGTAATCTCTAAATGAAGACCCAAATGAGAGTTACATGAAATACTTTGGTAAACTGAAAGGCAAATTTGACATGCTACCATTGACTATGCTGGAGAATCCTAAAAGTAATCACTGCATGGCACACCAGAATGTTTTTTTTTAAATCACCCTGTGGTTAAGTAGTACAAGTATAATCTAAATCCACAGACATGAATGAAGATTGATACATCATTTTTAAGTACTATAAATGAAAAGAATGAGTGTAAAACTCAATTTTTCCTTCCAGATGAAAGAGATAGTCTTATTAATTTCTATTAATAGGATATCTTCTGCTGAAATTTTTTCTATTAAGAATCTGGCAAACTCACAAATATGACAGATGGACTGAGATTTCAGAAATATGCCAAAAGACTTTCTGCAAAGGGATATAGTAAAAAAATTCCAGTTCCCCTAGCTGTAGATTAATATCCGAATTCATATATTTATGTTGTTGGTCAATAAATCTTAAAAACTGCTTGAAAAATACTCTTTGGGTTTGGGAGGGTTTCTTTTTTTTTTTAGATTTGATTCTCATAAAGGCTTCTGGTGTCAGTTATTGGAAGAAGGTAAAACAAAATGCCTTGGAAAGAGTAAAGGAAGAAAATATCCTCCAATGGATTCTGATGTAAGTATAGAGCTTAAAAAATACAAACTAAATGTACAAAATGATAAAATCACATATATTTTCTTAGAAAAGTGATTAAAGTCAAAATTCGGCCCTTCTAAAAATTAAGTGACATTTGAATTCAATAATCTAAGTTGCTTTTCTTGATTTTTCCAATTACATATTATTACATATTGCAAGAATAAAATAAAGTAAAAGAACTTGCAATTGTGAATCAAAACCAAAAGGTAACATATCACTACAAAAAGAATGACACCTGCACAGAATACTTTTTTTGGATACTGGGGTTTGAAATCAGGACACTTGCCAGGCAGGCGCTCTATCACTTGAGCCACTAACCCTTTTTATTGGGGAGGACTATGTGCTTTTTTGAGATATGGTTTTACGAACTATTTGCCTAAGCTGGCTTTGAACCACAATCCTCCTGATCTCTACTTTCTAAGTAGCTAGGATTATAGAAGTGAGCTACCAACACCCAGCTTGCACAGAAATTTTGTCACTAAAAATGTTCATTGAAAACAAGACAGGAAATATGTCAACTAAAAACTGCAAATAAGACCAAAAGATTTCTCTCTTTTTTTTTTCACTGCTAAATCACTCTGTAGTATAAGTATAGCATGGATAATAATGTTAATTGCTGACATAATACACTAAGCTTTGAACTGTTACTATGCTATTAAGATGAAGGAGTTAATGTATTTCTCTAACATCCTAGCAGATGATTGAGGCTTTAAGGAATGGAGATATGTATACTGCAGTATCAGCACTCTGTGTTTATTCTGTTTAGAATGGTGATATTGCAAGCACTTAACACTATAGTTTTCTCAGTTTGAACAACCTGTATTTTGACTTTAATGCTTATTTCACATACAGTAAGATTTATTCATATTTTATTTCATAATCAGTCTATTTAGTATATAATTTTGAATGTAAGAATCCAAGATTATTATTATTATTATTCTACTATATATATTATATATATTATTATTATTATTATTATTATTATACTACCTTTAGAACTCAGAAATTTAAAATATTTGGGATTTTTTCCGCAATGTTTAATATTTCATGTTAACTGACAATCTTGAGGTGGTCTTAGAATCCTCAGGTAACCTGAATTTATTTGAAAACTCTTATCTAACAACACCTTCAGGATCATTTGTTGTGCCAAGCCAGGCCTGAGAGACAAGGGTCTAAATTCAATAAGTTCACAATTAAATTCTGCATAGAAGGTATGGTGAAGGGGAGATTCTGTTGTATTGATAAAGAAACTATATCATCAACACTCTAATTTTATTTGGTTTTGGTTAATTGTCAAATACACCTTCAGAATACAATGAAAACAATCCTAATACATTAAAGAGAAATCAAAAGATTATTTCTAGAGTATTTCAAGAAAGCAATATAAAATGTATAATTTTATATCAAAGATCTGCCTATATATTTATTAAAGCTAAAATGCTTAGAAGACTCTAAAGAATGTCTTTCTTAGCATTTTATTTTACTCTTGTCTAACAAACATACTGAGATATTACACAAAATTTGTTGGTAGAGATAGATGAGAAAAATACAACGTTTCAGGATATAGATTCTAGATCTCTCAACAAGGTACTATGTATACATACTTTAGTAAAAGGAGCAGGAAGATGGAAAGTGGTTAAGAAAGACTAATACAGATGGAGTAAACTTGATCAAAGAAGATTATATGTATTTCGTAAATATCACAATGAAACCCCTTTGTACAATTAATTTATGCTAACAAAAAATTTTTTAAAGAGGTGTGAAGTGGCTGATTTTGTGCAGATAGCATCAAGAGAGAGGGCAAAAATAAAAGAACCTCCACAGAGGCTCCTTTTTCCATTTGTGATGGAACTACAAATGTGTAGGATGGATTAGAGTAGGTGACAGCACTCTGCTCATCTCACCTCCTAGTACAGAGAAATGCCAGTACCCCACCTCAAGACTATCAACAAGACATTGTATGATGTGCTGAATCAGTAATCCACATGCTTAATATAAATTTTAATCTAGACCTGGTGTACCTGATACTTATTTAAGCATGATCAAAGGATATGGACTATACTTCAATAAACAAAGTTAAATGTTCTTTTATCTCTTCCTCCCCACTCAGAGCAGAGCCTTTTTGTCAAGCTACTACCAAGATCACAACGTGGAGCTCTCAAAGCTGCTGCACAAACTGGGACAGCCTCTGCCATCCTGGCTAAGACAAGAGCTGCAGAAAGTGAGATAGCACTGAGAAAAAAGCTTCCCAAGAATCCACCTTCCATATACTAACAGTCACCTTTCCAAAGCTTCCAGAAGCTATGAAAAGGCTGTCAAAAAAATATACCTCTTCATACAAGAAAAAAAGAACAAAGTTCTTTCCATGTGCTGGCATGTGACTGCTTAGGAACAATGGTGTCTGTTACAAGCCTTGAGGCCTATGGCCTTCCTCTTAACCCATATCTGAGCCTGTGGGATTATTGTAGACTACTGTGCATTCATGTGGAAGTCATAGCAATCGACATAAATAATAAACAAAATGCAGAACTGTTTCATTTCACAGTGATATTTACACTTTTATGTATCAACTAAGATTGTGTCTCTGTAGATTTTTAGACCACTGTTTGCCTGTACAATGTTTTCTTATTCTTTGATGCTATAAAGTATCCTACAAAAACAAGAACCAAAATAAACATCACAATGTAACATAAAATTCCAAAAACATACAACTCATGAAAAAAATGTCTGCCAAAATTTAAATCCACTGAAGCATTTAGAAAGAATTATAAATCATAATTTTTGCTAGATCAGAGAGTGGAAAAGTATATATATATGAGTTTTACCTGCATCAAAAAGATAAGTACTACAGCAAGAAAAAGTATCCTTTCATATATATAGTCTAGTGCATTTATGTAAAAATTTCTAACTGTTTCATCATAATGTAACTGTCATATTGAAATATATATGGTAAACCTATTGGTTAGTAAATAGAAACACACAGAGTACACCAAAACAGTAAATAATAATGTAAGTGTGCTCGGTAAATTCTCTAAGAGGGAGACATGATAGGAGTTTAAAGGTATGTCGTTCAGAACGTCATGTCCACTTGCTGTAAACTGTAAATCTATTCTAGTAGTCCTCTCTGGTTCTGCAGAAATGCATAAATAAAGTTGGAGATATGTGTCATCTCCAGAAACAGGTTGACTTTTAAACATGAATAGCTTCCTTTTTGATGTCCCCAGAACAAAACATACTAAATGAAAACTAGAGGCAGTCTCCCTAGATGCTGTGTTTAGGCTATGTACATTTAAATTGTTGAAAAACTTCATTTTCTGGGTAATTCAACAAATTAATATCTTGGATTTGTAACTTGATATTTGAAATTATACTTTTGATACAAGACAGAAAAAATAGGCACGCTAGAGATCCATTTTTGAGAATATTTCATACATCACTCTCATGGAAGATAACAGAACATTGTTAAATTGATGGATTACCTACTAAATTAAATGCAGAAAGGTCAAAGATGAGCAAGGCATAGTTCTTAAAATATATTTACACTTATATTTTTAATGAAAAAATATGATTGATAAACTTTTGAAAAAAGAATACAATAAATCATACTTATTTTCTTGTATTAGTATTTACTTCACTTTTAATGTACTTACACATACAAAAATTTAAGTAGTGAATACATTTCTTGCTATAATTATATAAGCATTTATAAAATATTCTCAAAGTTATGATTTGAAAAAAATATATGAGCCAGGTGCTAGTGGCTTGTGCCTACTATAATCCTAGCTACTTGGGAGGCTGAGATCTGGAGGATCACAGTTCAAAGCCAGCCTGGGCAAATAGTTCATGAGACCCTGCCCCCCATCTCAAAAATAACCACAGCAAAATGGACTGGAGGTACTGCTCAAGAGATAGAGCGCCTGCTTTGCAAAATCTGAATTTAAAAGTGAACTCTATCAATTATTTACTAATTAGAAAACAAACTGTGAAATTCTTCCACTTACTACAAATTTTTTAATGTGTATTATAATTGTCAATTAAATTTTTAAGCACTTAATGTACTCAATGATCACACAAATTTTAAACAGTTATCAGACAGAATTTGGAAAAGAACCAATTTTTAAATCCCTGACTAAAAACAGCAAAATCATTTGGGAAAATATGGCAGCCTCCATGCTAACTGCCACCTCTTTTGAAGGAGCACATTCCAAACATGCTAGGAAAGTTACCAGAGTCATTCAACTCCATTAATTTAAGAAAACTACTGTAAGAAGATCAAACATTGTGAAAATAGGCCCCAATAGTTACACACAGTGTCATTTCATTTGGCAACAATGTTTGTGCTGATAAAAGAAAACTGACACCTAATATATGTAAAGATGAGATGTACAAATGAAGTTCTAAATAAAGTAACTAATAGCATCCTTTTGTCCAAGTAAAAGGAGTTAAGTAAGCAGCTCATCCTTAAAGTAAATGTTAAACCATGTTCAATTCTTGTAGAATGAAAGGAGAAAAGGAGAGAGATGGTACCAAAATCTACTAATTCACCAATAAATGTTTAAAACCTTTGAAAGAATTTTTGACCACTCAATATGTTTTGGAAAGAGTAGCAAATTCTAGAGGACATGCATACTTTCCACACTATATTTCCAACTAATTATTATGTTATTCTGAAAGTAATATAAATACACATGAGAAAAGAATGAGAGATAACATGACTAAAAATTAGCTCTGTATAAAATTCCCTTTTTCAATACTTAAAATATGGAACTTCCTCAGGAAGAATGAAATGGTTATTTCAATGTTTATAGCTATAATATTCTTGTCATTCACATTGAATGAAAATTACTGGAAACATTTTTTTCTCTGAGTTTTTTAAAAGAAAAAAAACTGAATACAATTCTGATAGTTGCATGGTACCTCATATGTATAACAATAAACTGATAAGAAAATGAAAATTTTGTGTATGGTGATTTTTAGACAATTAATAGGTGTATGATTGTTTTGCCTGGGAGGTAGTGGGGGGTACTTATATAACATAGGTATGACTAATATAATTAAAACGCAGAGATGGATGGAAAGCTTCCAAGTAGGAAGAAAGAAATTTTTTAACTATAATAGCTTTTCAACAACCTTTCTCCTCCTAAATTTTGGTGTTGTGATTTTTAAATTTTTATTTCATTTTATTTAGTTCTAACAGATGTAAAGCAGTTCCTACATCACTCATGGGCCCCTTTCTTTCTTTAAGAGTTTTAAAAGGTGTTAGGTCTATAAAAGAATCTCTACAAGGGGTGGGCACTTAGACATTCATCTTTATTGTCCACAAAGTTTCTTTTCTTTACTCCAATCCCTTTCTCTTCTAGATATCAGATTTTCTCATGTTGCAACCATCTTGTCTAGATGCTCCAAATGAATTCTCCGTAGGTCTGCCTCCTCCCCACATACACAAATTGCTCCTATCTGGAATACATCTAATTCCCAATTTTCTTTCCAAATGTTCCAGAGCCAATCAGATCCTCCAAGACAAATCAGTGACTAGTTAATAAACCAACCCATCAGTATTAATGGCTTATAATGATATCATATTATGCTTTCCAGTTAAACCCAAACTTCCCAGTAGAAACTCATCAGTGGGGACTCTCCATTAGAGAGGCACTGAACCTAGCAAGTATTTTGATGTAAATATGTTTCTTTTCTTTCTTTTTTTTTTGTGGTCCTAGGTTTTGAAATCAGAGACTTGTGCTTGGCTAGGCAGGTGCTCTATTACTTGCACCACAGCCTAGCCCAAATATTTCTTTAATTCCAAATTACACTATATAACTTGAGTTCTATTCTGCTAAAGCTAGCTTTGTTTAATTACTATCTGCAATATAGTTGCTTCCTTTTTACTTGCTACAACCCACTCTCAACCCTCAATACACACACACACACACACACACACACACACACACACACACCTATACCCAGACAGTTGATTTCTTGGCTGGCTTGGAATGTCTATCATCTCTTCACATACTTTACACAAGGGCTGACTACATGTCATAAAGTCAGCCGTGAATTTGAGCATGAAAGTCAAAGAATGTGATGGTTAATTTTATGTCATCTTGACTAGGCCAGATCAAATATCATTTCTGGGTTGTGTCTGAGAGGATATTTCTGAATGGCATTACATATGAATTGGTGTATTCAGTGAAGTAGATTGTGCTCCCCATCATGGATGATTATCATCCAACTCACTGAGATGGGTCATCCCATCTCATCTCGTCTTTTCTCTCAGACTGCAATTTACAACAATGGCTCCCTGGTTCCTAGGCCTTCTGTCTCAGAATGAATTAACCAGACTTCATCTAGTCTCCAGCTTTCAGGCAGCAAATCATGGGACTTTTCAGCATCTATTAGTATGTGACTGAGGCAATATGTATTCACACAGTGTGAGATTGATTCCATCCCCAAGAAAATCATACTTTGTGTGTGACTCTCACCTGTAGTTAAGGGTACCAAATTGGGGCCACTTGCTTCCATCCAGTACTATTACTAGTTCTTGCCATTTATTGACCTCAATTTTTCTCCATAAAAGTTCTCTATATATTCAGTTACATTAACTGCTACAGAATTAAATTTATTCATTTATTTGTTAGCACATTAAATTTATTTTTAAATGAATCCTACATATATGAAATAATATATAAAACCCTAGGAATATATAGCATTTTGAGCTTTCATTTCCTCTATAAATCTGTATAGATATCTATATCCTTTACATATCTATTTCTACTGGTGCAATTAATAAAGCTAATTCAACCTTCCTCTACCTTTGTGCTCTTTTCAGGCCCACAATAGATTGGGTGTTTACCACATAACAATTCAAATACTAACTTTATCCAGAAACACCCTCACGGTAACACCTGGAAATAATGTTTCACCAGCTATGTGTGCATCCTGTGGCCCAATCAATCTGACATATCAAATTAGCCATCACATTTACTTATCAATCCCGTTCAAAAAAGTCAAAGCAAATTTTACAGATTAAATGATCCACAGCACAGTCTCCAAGTTATTGTTGGGAAGAATGTATTTCCCACATTTTACAATATAGAAAAATGAATTAAACTGAGTGAAATGTAAGACATTTCCAAAGCACAGAGAATATGTGACAAATTTTACATAAAACTGTCTACATCAAGCTGCTTCTTGGTTATGAGAGAATAAATTAAGTGTAGGAAATGCCTGCTGTCTATATTTCCACTGCCAAAAATGCTCTATTCAAATTGATAACTGAAATAGAAACAGGACCTTGCTCTTAAACATTATGCATAATTTATACAGTTGGACCAGAGAAGATGGGTTTTCTTTCCTCTATTTGGTATACAGCATTCTGAACCTGAATTTTTTTTAAAAAAACTTCAACAGAAATGTAAGCTCAAAATGCGATATATTCCTAGGACTTTACTTAATTTACATCTGTCAACAAACAAAACTCTTTAAAGCCCACAAGGCAAATACAATATCAAAAATAAACTTTATTTCACATACAAATGAATAAATAGACAAATTTATAAGAATGTAAAGATTATGGGCCGGGGGTGTGGCTCAAGTGTTAGAGCACCTGTCTAGCAAGTACAATGCCCTGAGTTCAAACTCCAGTACTAAGAAAAAAATTAAAGATTACAATTTTAAAAACAATAAAAAGGTATGAAAATGCAGTATTGATAAATTTTTGCTCCCACCTATGATTAAGTTGATAAAACCTATTGTTTCAATCCCCAATTGCCTTCAGGACAATCAAAATAATAAAGAGGATAAACTGGACTGTAGCCCGGTATCTGTGCTTAACTAAACATTGGGTATGTGACTTTTGGGGCCTCAATTTTCCCATCTGTCACTGTTAGTAAAAATATGATCATGGCTAAGAAGATGGTATTTTTCCCCCTGCTTTATTTTACCATGTGGAGGTCCACCAATTTTGTAATATTGGCTCTCCCTGTCTCTTAGCTACTCTTCAATAGAGGAAGAGCCCTGAATTACCTAAGTGATAATTGGAAGCAGAAATTGTACTTGAATAACTAAACCTTCCTCCTTCAATTATCTTAAGGATCTACCATTAAAAAACAGTCACTCTGATCTACTCTGACTTACATTGGGTTTAGCAGAAATTGACTATAGGTACATTTTCATTAGTGATTATTAAGTTGGACATTGTAAAGGGTTTCATCATGATATTTCCACACATGCACTTTGTGTGATGCATTTTGATCATATTCACTCCCTCTCTTGCTTTATTACTCCTCCTTCCCTCTTTTCCCTCCCCCTTCCACCTCCCAAGTTCTTTCATGACCTTGGTTTTTTGATTCATATTGTTTTATCTTCTGCTTGTTTCCAAAAAATGAGAGAAAAATGCAGTATTTGTCTGGTGGGGTTGATTTTCATTTAACATGATAATCTCTAGTTCCATCCATTTTCTAGCAAACAACATAATTTCATTTTTCATAATAGCTGAGTAAATCCTTTGTCTTTATCCATTCATCTGTTGGTGGGCACCTAGGCTGATTCTATAGTTTGACTACCACAAATAGTGCAGCTATAAACATGGGTAGGAAGGTATCTCCATTGTATGTCAATTTTGATTCTTTTGGGTATATATCCAGCAGTGGTAGGGCTGGATCATGTGGTACTTCTAGTTTTAATTTTTTGAGGAACCTCCATACTTATTTCCATAGTGGCTGCACTAATTTATACCCCACCATCAGTGAATAAGAGTACCTCCCCTCCCACCCCCATCTTCACCAGCATTTGTTGTTTTCATTTTCTTAATGAAACCTATTCTAACTAAAGTGAGGTGGTTTCACTTACCCCAATCAGATGCTGTTTCAATTTGTATCTCCTTGATGACTACAGATGTTGAACATTTTTTTCATTGATTTATTTAAAGCCACAAACATAATCAAAAGAAGAGCTAGAAACAAAACCAAAAATGTAAATATATTTTCAAAAACTAGGAAGATGAACAAGAGTATAAGTGAGGAATTAATATAGATAAGCTAAACATGTCTCATTCTTCATGTGGGGAGCCAAAACATACTAATTTTAACTAGTTACCTTTTTTTAAGTAGTTAAATTTGTTACCTTTAGGTAACAAATTAAGAAATTAAGGTAAACTCCTGGCCATATATCCAAAGGAATATGCTCTAGGATATGATAGAGCCACTCGCATACCCATGTTTATTGCAGCACTATTTACAACAGCCATGCCTTGGAAGCAGCCTTGATGCCCCATGACTAATGAATGGATTAAGAAAAAGTGGTATATATACATAATGGAGTTTTATTCAGCCTTAAAGAAGAATGAAATTATGTTGTTTGAAGGTAAATGGATGGAACTGGAAAACATTATGCTAACCAATGTAAGCCAGGCTCCAAAAATCAAAGGTCACATGTTTTCCCACACATGTGGAAGCTAGACTTATAAATTAAATGTATATATAGATAGATAGATGATCACATATACATACATAAATACATACATATATGGTGAGAAACAGAATAAAATTTTAGTCTGAGGAGACTATGGGAGGTGGGAGAGCAAAAGAAAATGTTAGAGCATGAAAACTATTGAAACAGCCCACCTACATAAGAATATAATATAATGCACTGTACTCTAAGCTACTGTATATAAGGGGATCATGGTGATAGAGAAGGAAGGAACGAACGAACGAAAGAAGGAATGAAAGAAGGAAGACTTGTAGAGCTTTTACATAGTACTAAACAACGAAAAAAAAACTACAGTTAATATGGAAAGGCTAGGCTACAAATATACACTTCCTTTTCCCAAATATGTATGCATACAGATGTATGCAGCCAGATCTTCTTCATATACTTCAACGAAAACAATTATCAAAATAAACCTAGTACAGAAATTGATATGAGAATCCATCCGTCTTTTATTAAGCCAAACTTAAGGAGATTTGCAAAAATGTAGCACAATGCCACTCTGAATTTTCTTTTGATTTTGGCAATGATGTTATTCTTGGCTTTCTCTTATTTTAAAATTAATTCATTTAAAAATTTTTAAGTTTCATGTCTAATACAGTAAATATTGATAGATACAACTTTTTAAAGTCCTTTGGCAGATATTGGGAGTTGGAAGTAATTTAAGTATCTACAGCTAAGACACCATAGAAAGAAAGTAAATAGAAAACCAGACTATACCTCCCCTCCACCACCTTCAAATTCTACTCTCAAATGGAAGCTGCCTGGATGAGATAAGGATGATTCAAAACAAAGAAGCAAGGCAAACACAGATTTGGTTTCTTTTCTGCTGGCCTTTCTCACTGCCACTGACCTGAGCCCTAAAAGTGAAAAGATGAAAGATCTTAAGTGAGGATCAAACGTAGAGAAAGTGTGTCCAACTTCCCATTTAAAACTCTTCAAAGCAGGCCCAGTAGGATGGTACATGCCCATTCCCATCTCATAGAAAGCAGAAGCAGGAGGATCTCAAGTTTGAGATAAGCCTAGGCCACACAGTGAGACCATATTCTCAAAAAAGGAAAAGCCCACATTCTCAGGGAAGCTGCAGAAATCACTAAAAACAGGATTTTAGATCCAAAGAGACATAGCACCCAGGACCAGAAGGACACATAATGCACAGACTGATGATGACCACAAGTTACAGGAGGAGCCCAGACCAGAAAGCAGAAGCCACTTACCAAAGATTGAGCCTGATGAGATTCACCCAATGCCAGCAGAAGACAGAGGACGGCTGAGGCCCAGATGTTTCCCTCTCACCTCATGTCCATTGTCACGGCTACCTTGGGAAGAAAGGATGAGAAAAACACTGAATTTGGCTGGATTTTCCTGAAAGAGACAAAAATTCCAAAGTGATGATATATATATATATATATATATATATATATATATTTTTTTTTTTTTTTTTGTGGTACCTGAACTCAGGGCCTTATTCCTGGCTAGGCAGGAGCTCTACTACTTGAGCCATACTCCCATTCCTGAAACATATCTTGAATGTGGACATTTATTGAAAACTAATGACAGCTATATTTCTAATTATGGAATTAACACCCCCTACCTAAGCATTATGTCCCTGGTCCAATTAGCAATAATGGTGACTCAGGAAAAAGAACAAATAGCCAGGATTTAGGCTATTTAAAATTATGCCTTAAGTAAAATAGGCCAGGAGTAAGCCTAGTGGTGCAGAAAGACTTAGGTCTGCAGGTGAAGCACATATGTAGATTGCATTTTCTCCAAAATAATCAGTTTCATCCTGAGTGACACCTGGTATAACCCTGGAATATAGACATGACCTGCAAATAATAGTATACCCAGTGATTTGATTAGTACATTCAATTTGTCAAGTAATCCTATTGTGTCTGTCTTCATTATATCCAAAAGCAACCACTTCTGACCAACTGTGCTGCTGCCATCCCATTCTAAGATGCCATCATTGCTTTCCTGAATCTCTCCCCTGCTTCAATGCTCGTCTACTATAATCTACTGTCAACCCAACATGTGGTATATTCCTTAGACAATTTGGTCAGCGCACTACTTTGTTAACACTCCTTCAATACCTCTCCTTTTTATTCAGAATACTAATGATAGTTCATACATAGCCTCTGAGACCTTACATGATCTAGCATCCACTGCCTTTGTAACCACAGTTCCTCTTCTCCCTCTCTCATCCTACAGCAATTCTACACCCAAAAATTTTTATTTTCAGGATGTCTTTTTTTGTACATTCATCTTATACAATTTCCATTCTTAATCCTTCTCAATTAGTTCTGTCCAATAACTTTAAAATGATAAATATTCAAAAATTCTTATTGCTTTCAGCAAATTTGAGTCCTGAATTCCAAGGATTTTTTTTCAGGACCTTCTGAGTTCTAGGGAATACTATTCATTTACTAAATTATCATATAGATAAAAAGAGTTTTAAACTAGAGAATACAAAAGTTATTTCTTTGGTTCTAATTCTACTTAGTTTTCTATAATTTTACTTAGATTAAAAATAACTACTAAAACATATTAAATTAGAGTACTCTCATACACCATCTGATGTTTTAATTTTACTATTTTTACCTTGAGCCACTCCAGCAGCCCTATTTTTGTGAAGGGTTTTTCAAGATAGGGTCTCATGGAACTATTTGCCCAGCTGGCTTTGAACTGTGATCCTCCCAATCTCTGCCTCCTGAGTAGCTAGAATTATAGGTGTGAGCCTCCAGCACCCCAACTTTATTTAAAAAAAAAAAAGTATGCAAAAATTGCTCTAAATTCAACTCAAGCTAAAATTTTTCAGAGTATGTATATATGTCTTATCTCTTACTTGTGACCTCACAGCCTCCATCTGCCCACCACTAGCATTGCCCTCAGCCCCTGCTATGCCCTTACCCTTCTCCTCGCCCACCGCATCCCATACCTGTCCATACCTCCTCCCAGCATGCTCAGCTACCTGTACCCCTCCAGGAGGTGGCAGGAGCTGACAACATTATCTGAGCCCATGTGCCTTTT